TCTGTTGATGTCCACCTCCTCAGCTACGTGTGTTTCCTGGTTCCCTTTCTTCTATTAAACTTCCTTGTTGATGTACTTCACGTCTCCTCGTTCCTCGCTCCGCGCTCCTCCACAGTAGCCGATCCGTGACAATAGCAGAGAGTCATACAGGTTTGAAATGACATGGCACTAAATACTTTTCATCTGTTAAACTGGCTAAAATGCTACAATGCAAAAGGCAAAACACAAAAACTATGCTAACGCTAGAACTATAAAAATGGCTTTACGTTTTTTTACTTTGATATCAGTTTTCATTCATTCGATATATTCTTGCATTCATGAAAAATAAAAGGTTTAGGTTTTCAATTGTAAGTAAATACTACCGTTCGTTTGGGATCAGTAAGAATTTATGTTTTCAAAATAAGTCTCTTATTAGGCTACATTTATTTGATTAAAACACAGTAAAAACATTACTATTGTGAAATGTTATTCCAATTTAAAATAACTTTTTTATGTATTATTATATTTTAAAATGTAATTTATTCCTGTAATGCCAAAGCTGAATTTTTAGCATAATTGCTCCAGTCTTCAGTGTCACATGTCCTTCAGAAAGCATTCTAATATGCTGATTTTCTGATCAAGAAACATATATTATTGTCAATATGTCCAAAATGACCATTTATTCCTTGAAATTGAATGCTTTGAACAGTAGTGTATATTGAAAATAAGTTATTTATTTGCAAAAGGGTTTTATAAAACAGCATTTCACACAGCTGTGTAATGGTACAGAAGGTTTGAAGTGGTTCTAATGCAGGTGTGTACATTATAATCACCACAAAGCACTGTATTTTGTGCCAACTCAACAGATATTGCTCATACCCATACTGGAGAATCATCAACAGGAGACTGCATGAAAAATGTCTGAAATGGTGGATGATGAGGCTGCATTTATTTAAGCTGCCTTGCGTCTATGGTCTCCCATACTAGTGTTCACAAAGCCCTGAGGGTTTGAAAAGAAACTGCAGGGGATTTGTGAGTTGATGAAAAGCTAATTATTAAATAATAAAAATGTAAACTAATCAAAATAAAACAAATTACCTGCATGTCATGTGACCATTAACCAACGTCAGAAAACCTTGAACTTGTGAATGTCTTAAATTATTGAAATGTTAACTTAAAATCTGTTTTCAAAAATGTATTATATTTTGACATATTATAGTCAAAAAATTTTATACACAATGGCAATCAAACAAACAACAACAAAAAAGCTATTTTACTATCCAAACATTCAGCATGAAAAAAACCCAACAGGGTGCAAGAACAACAGAAGTAACTTAGTAAAAAAAAACTATCAATAACTTTGTTTTCCAGCTTAAAATGTTGTTGCAGGAATTACTTCAAGTGAATATTTTAGTTTAAAGAGGTTTGTCTGACAAAAAAGCTCAGTAGGCTATTGCGCAACAAAAATTCCCAGATTGCATCTAAACAGCAGTATTATGGTATAGTCGGTATATATTATATATATAGTGGTATATTTTAAAATTGAATACTACACTGATGTGAAAAGCAAGATTCTTCATAAACTTTCACTATGACATTAGCTGAAGTAAAGGTAGGGTAGGCAATTTCGGAGAGGTTAGCAATAGCAAACTAGCTTTGAAAGCATAAGATCCCACCCTCCCTGCAAATCACTCTCCAAAGCCACACCACCTCCAAAACACATGAAAGCGCACAAGCAAATCAGAGGCTAACCAGCGACACAATGAGAAACGCCACTGGTGAAGGGTTGAATGCAATGCTGTCAGATTGCCTCATGTCTCATTCACCGGTAAGAAAACATATCAGTGCAAATCACATAATATTACAGTAATAACACCTTCCATTCTTACTTTGTCTGCAATAGTGTAATGGAATGCGCTGATGACATATCATGTCTTCGTGAACAGGGTGCGTGGAGGTATGCAAATACATATGTTGACAGGCAGGTAGGACAGCCTATCATAGCCCTTGAACAGACAAACAATTTATGGTTCTACACCTTCTACAGATGATATAAATATATACACTCTAAAAAATGCTGGGTTAAATATAACCCAGCGCTGGGTTAAAAAGGGACAAACCCAGCTATTGTGTTGTTTTGACCCAGCGGTTGGGTTGTTTCGAACCCAACCGCTGGGTCAAAACAACCCAATAGCTGGGTTTGTCCCTTTTTAACCCAGCGCTGGGTTATATTTAACCCAGCATTTTTTAGAGTGTATAAATACATTTAGACCACTTAACTTATTGATTGCTATCAGGATGTGAACAGACTTTAACAAAAAAATTTTTTGAACCAAATCATCTACCCTGCCTTTAAAAGAGAAAACTGATTGTAGAAGAAGACAGCTTACACAAATGTCCCCAATAGCACTCCTAGTAGCAACACTGAGAATACACCATGCACTTGAGTTGAGAATTACACAATGACACATGTGAAATCAAGCTTAGTGTAGCTAGAAGTGTCTGTATTCATGTACTTTAGAGTATGTTTCAACTAGTTCTGCCAAAATAAGTGTGTTAACGCATGCGATTATTTTTTCCAGCTCAACGGCATTAAAAATATTTAACACAGTTAACGCAGAGGTGGAGCTAGGGTTGGCCACCCCACTCAAAACTGCTGCTTCTGTCGCTTTTTTTCTTGACAATAATTGCATTTATTTACACACAGAACATCTTTACAACCATATCAAACAGGTCATTTTTTAGACTCACACTCCTCTTTGCCTTAGTGCCAGGCGCTAGTCAAACGAACGCAGAAACGGTACAGGTGACGAGGAGCTTCAAGACAACATCAGTAAATTGCGGTCAGATGAGATGTTGTCAGGCCCATATGTCAGTAAAAACTAATTTTCCTGTCCGATCAGCCATTATACTGTGCTCGAAGCATGTGCTCTTCAATTGCACGCAAAAATACGGTGGTGCGCACTGTAGCCTGTGTCATTTCATATTAAAGTGTGAATAAAACTACGAGCATACATGTCAGATCTGCGTCACGTTCAGCAGTGGCAGCTCTTAAAGTAATAGCAGCCAAATAACCTAATAACCCAGCTGCTGTGAAGTCTGTTAATCAAAAAACAAAAGAAAAAAGAGGAAATCAATAAGTTTTGTAGCTTTAAGGATTCATCTATATTTAATATAGAATTTAGTGTTTGATAACTTTATTCAATTTCTGTATATTTCTTGCTGAAGGGCACAGGTATGACATTTATTATAATGGTTTTATGTGAAGATTGTTTTAAGTTCACTTAAATTAGAAGTTTTTATTTTTTTAAGTCTAATAAATGTTAAAGTTGATAGCTCTTGTAATACAGAACTACCACATTTTGCTATAAGTTTGATTGCATCATATAATAATTGCTGTTAATAGTGTTCATCGTCTGTTTGATTACGTCTTTAATTGATTTTTCCGTACATTTCTGCCATATGTACACTAACTGACAGTCATCACTGATAAGCTACCACTAAATATTGTAGAAACTTAATTTGCTGTAAAGTTGCTTTGCAATGATTTGTATCGTGAAAAGCGCTGTACAAATAAACTTGAATTGAATGAATTGAATTGAATTGTAATGTTGAATGGCTACACTGTAAGACCAAATAGTAAATCTTTGATAAAGTAATTGGGTTGTAATTACTCAAAAGAAATAAAAACGTTCATTCGCCTCCAATTTTTTGAGTAATTAGTATAAAAATGTAATTTTAAGTTTACAGCACTCAAATGCTTTCATTTGTTTTTGGCAGTGTACTCAAATAGTTTTAGTACAATCCCGTCTGACGTCACGCACGTGCTTACGTGCTCCGCCCTCAACTAGCTGCTGCAACTTTTTGAAAAGACGCCATGTTGTTGTTGCTCGCTGACTCGCCTCGGATTTTATTTTATTAAGTTTGCAATGTGGGAAAAGTGTCTGAAGTACTGAGTCAGCTTTTCAGGATATGTGACACTTCAGGTCAGTGGTTACACTTCTTAATGGCTGATAAAGAAACTACAGTTGATTTCGGTTGTATTGTCATACACGCAGAAGTTTTAGGGTGATGCATAGTATTGTGTGGCTGTGATGATTAGATTCCATGTTAAATCAAGAATCTTATACTCAAGTCTCTAATTTTCACACTGAAGGAAATACTGACATCCAGTCCATTAGTAACAATTCAACAGTTGCCACGTTCTTCTGCTCAGAAAAGACTGAAGTTGTACTTTGGGTAACAGTTAACGATTTCCCCTTATTGGCTCATGCATTTGTCATGCTTTTTGGACTAACGTACACCTTGGATCTAAGTTCCCTAAAAGAGTTGGACAATACATTTGACTTCACCCACAAATTCTTGATGGGTCTGGAGGATGGGAAGCTGAGACCCAGA